TGAATCGTCAAAGCCGATTCCTTCCTCTGCCTCTACTGGACATTCGGGCATCTCGGTCTCGGCGTCTGCCTCTTTACACAGCACCATTCCCTGACTGCAAGGCCCTTGTGGTAGATGCCTTTTAGCTGGACTAGTCGAGGTGGGGGTGCATTTTTACCTCTTTTTTTTTTTTTTTTTTTTTTTTTTTTTTTTCCTCCCCCAGTCCGGCTGTTGCTCAGTGCTAGTGAAGCTGGGGTCATACAGGAGGGGAAAGTGAGTCTTCTGGATCCTTGGTGGCTCACCCAGCCTTGGTTTCAGGCGCTGCTTGCTCAGTGTCTGAACCCCGGGCGTCTTTCTGCGGCTCTGCCACTGTCAGAAGGTCAAGCAATTGACGTACTTCGCTGGTTCGATCTTCTCTTCCGCTTTAAACGTCTAGACTTTTTGACACGTATTTATTGCCATTTGTATGGTGACCAGGTGGCTGGCTCAATGTTGTCTCACCTGCAGTCTTCTCAGCAACAGTATTAGCACTCTTGGCAGTCTTTTTGCCATTTTCTCTTCCTTCGTTGTTGTCCTTCCATTTCCAACTGAGTTGTTTTATCCATTCTTGGCTTTTCTTTGATCGACATCATGATGAATACTGTCGCTTCTTATTGTGCAGCATTGGAGGAGCCACTTCTGTTTGCGTTCGAGGTTAATGGGTCTTCAGCCCTGTTTCGCAAGCTTTCTTGCTGTGTTTCACCTCTGGCCTGCTCATGCACCACCTGAGCCTGCCCGGTTTTTGAACTAAGTTCTTTCTTTTCTCTCTACTGCTTGATTACTCTTATCTAGCCAAACACAATATACTTAACTCTTGTCAATATGGCTTCAGACCCAAAAAAAGCACTAATGATGCACTTATTAGTATGATTAACTTGATTCATGCAGCTCTTGATAAAAATGAGTTCCCTGTTGGGTTATTTGTGGATCTGCGTAAGGCTTTTGACACTGTCAACCACCAAAACCTTCTTCTTAAATTACATCATTATGGGGTCAGAGGACACTCCCTGCAATACCTCAAATCTTACCTTACTGACAGGCTCCAGTATGTTTCTGTGAATAATTCAATTTCTCCCACCCTACCCATCAACATCGGTGTTCCTCAGGGCAGAATACTTGGCCCTCTCCTCTTTCTCATCTACATTAATGACCTTCCAAATGCCTCCCAACACCTCAAACCAATTCTATTTGCTGACGACACAACCTTCATTTACTCCAGTCCTGACCCCCTTGCTCTAAATGCCACAGTAAATACTGAGCTAAATAAAGTACATCTTTGGCTAACGGCCAACAAACTCACCCTTAATATTGACAAAACTTTCTATATTCTGTTTGGCAATAAATCCTCTAATCAAATAAATCTCAGAATAAACAATACCCAAATTTGTAACAAATTAGATGGCAAATTCCTTGGCGTTCTCATTGACCACAAGCTGAATTTCCAGGGACACATTCTAAATATATCAAAAAAAGTTTCAAAAATTGTTGGCATTCTTTCTAAGATCAGATATTATGTACCCCGCCATGCCCTGGTGACGCTCTATTACTCCCTCATCTATCCATATCTCAACTATGGCATTTGTGCTTGGGGTTCTACTACCCAAAATCATTTACGTCCTCTAATTACTCAACACAAAGCTGCTATTAGGACAATATCTAACTCTGGCCCCAGACATTACTCGGTACCCCTACTCAAATCTCTGAATATGTTAGATATTAAGTCACTGCACATTCTCTCATGTGTATTATACATATATAAAATGCTGAACTGTAATGCCAGTCCTGACCTCAAAAGCGTCATTGAAGGTTGTAACAGATCCCATGAGCACCACACCAGAAATAAATTCAGTTTTGATATTCCAAGAGTACGACTTAATCTAACTAGAAATGCTCTATAAATCAAGGGGCCCAGAATGTGGAATGACCTTCCCAACCATGTTAAAGACTGTACCTCTCTCAGCCAGTTTAAGATAAAAAAACGAAGTACTACCTAATAAATTCCCTGTAACCTACCTTACCCCCCTATTGTCAACCCATGTCTGTTTTCTTAAACAACGCTGTTTGTCGACCTAATTGTGTTTGTGCTGCGTTTTCAGCCATGTTTCCCCCTTTTTTATCTTTATTTTTATTTGTTCTCAGCACATTTTATTCCTTATACTCAATTAGTATTAAGTTTTAGTCATTAATGTTTTTCCTGCCCGAAATGCTTTGCGTAATAGTGGCTTTAGGCATTGTATGTACTAGCTCCATCTATAAATCAATCAAATTATGTAAAATCTCTTGTATGTATGTATGTACCTTACCTGAATAAACATTTTATTTTTATTTATTTATTTTATTTTATTAACAGTAGCCCCTTCGGCCCAAGATTGTTTTTGGAAGGCGTTTTTGCTTTCCGTGGCCTCCAGTTGTCAGATGGGTGAGCTTCATGCTCTACTCTGGCACAGAGGGGTTTTGTTCTTTTGGTCCTTTTGGTCGTTCTGTTAGGTTGCAGCCAGCTCATTTTTCTAATGAAGAATGAGTCAGCAGGGTTTTGGAAGGGTTCTTTAGTTGTAGATGCTTGGTTGGTTTGGCCGGGGGTGCTTCATGCGCTTTGCCCAGTGGCAGGTTTACAACGATACCTTGGGCCACCAGTTGTTTCAGTGGACTTGTTGTGGGTTGATCCAGTTTCCCTGGTTTCCTTTTCCAGTGCTCGTATTTCTCAGGTTGTCCGCAGTGTCATTACAGCTAGTCAGCCTGCAGTCTATCCTCATGCTCATGATGTCGAGAAGTACGCCGCTATGACGGCTGTGTTTGGTAATGCATCTTGGCTGATGCATTACCACAGCCCCCTGGCTGTGGTAATGCCCTTGGGCACAGGGGTTTTGGAGGTTGAACAGGATCTTGGCTGCAAGTTATATTCTTAAAGTCCCTCATCCTCTGTGGCCTTGTGCAGCTTTGCGTCGTGTGTTGCAGAGATGGGTCTCTCCTTTGACTTAGTACCTGCAATGCTTTTACCTCTCTGGTAAGTGTACCTTTTTGTCCTTCTCTGTGGGTAGTTAGCTTCAGGGAGCCGATGGGGCTCCCCTCAGAAAACCACCCTTGAATGTAATGAAACGCCAGTTTCTAGGTTAGGCTTGGAGGCTCCCCGACACCCTCTCGCCTCCAGGTCGTCGGTGTGTTTTATCATTATAGAACCGACAGGAGGGGGGCCCGGCTTACCCGAGTTGGTTGTCTAGCAATCTAGTAGGGGGCTAGTTTCACAATTTTTGTTGCTTGTATTCATTGTTGGGGAGTTCTTTTGGCAATTTGGGGGCTGCAGTCTCGTGTTTAACCATGAAGTGGCCTATTTTGATTTGCCTATCTTTCTGGGTGCTTTCCCTAGGTGGTGTCAAAGATGATAACCTTTAAATGTAAAGTGATCATCGGCCATCGCTCCCTGCACCTCTGAGGAGGACCAGGTTCTGGCTCATGGTCTCCAGTAGGCAAATAGATGGCACTAAGTAGTATGGCACTGATCAGTGTATGATAGCTTTATTGAGCTTCCTGGGCTCACCCAGAAACTGGTGTTTAATTACATTCAACACTGTTTTTTCCTTTTGGGATTTACAGGAAAACACTTTCACAGGCAGTGTATTTAGCAAACAAAGTAGTTTGAATCACATGATGGGTTTTAGTTAGAAGTTAAAGTCATCTGCATATACAGTATTCCCATTGTAGCTATTTCATACATTACAGCTTCCCTGTTAGCAATATCAATACCATTTTTTCATGTTAAGAAATGTTTCATGTGTGCATTCTTTCATAATGCAATTAGAAAGAGTAATACAATTGTGTACATGATTGCCATAAGTAATGTGAAATGAGGGGGTCTACGTAGTGCAATTGGGTTCATTCTCAAACCCAGTCCCACCTGGGATCAAGAATCCCGGGTGGGACTGAAAGTGTTGGGTACATTTCCAATCACCTAATGCTTTTGTTCACCTAGCATTAAATAAGTACCTGGGATGACCAAACCACACATCAGAAGATGAAGAAACAACGACGTTTCATTCGCACACGACTTGATAATGGTCCAGGATGGTCCAGGACAATTTCCTCATCATCTGATGTGTGCTTTGGTCATCATTTTTTCAGCCACGTTATTGTGACTCATTGTCTGCGTAAGTGCCTCAGAGTTCGTCAATTGTTGTGGGGTTGCATCCTGAGAAGGGCCAGTAATTTGCCCTTGGGGGCCCTTGATATCAGCCCAACATAAATATATGTATACTGTACATATACAGGTTGTTTGTCTCGTGCTAAATGAATTATGAGAATTATAAATGAAACTTTTGATAATGGGTGACATACAGGAATCATACATACAGGAATCAAACTTACATACTGACATACATCCCTTGTCAGGAACTAGAGCCTCTTGAGCATATTGAAGTCCAACTTCGGTAGTTGGATTTATATTGAATTTAGTTCAGTATATCTTGCCCAAACCGCTGTGCGTATTGGTGGCTTTAGGCATATTATGTACTAGGTGTCTAGAAATCCAACATTCTGTTTGTAACTCATCTTGTATGTATGTACTTTTACATGAATAAACATTTATTTTATTTATTTATTTATTTATTTATTTATTTATTTATTTATATTTATTTACTAGCTAAAAGTGATGCTGTGCACATCATCCACAGCACCATTCCATTGCCATTATATTTTGTTAAGAATGATGCATGGGATCTACTTTTTTTTTTTCCCAACAATTCGTATGTCAAACTAAAAAATGTCTAAATAAATTCGGTATATTTTGCTAATTTTGCCTAACCCGTGGCATTATATTTAAACAACATTCATAATTTGTTTGTATACTTTCTATGAACATGCAGTATATCTATTGGCTACATAAAATGCCTGTGAAAAAAAGTTAATTATTTTATAATTTCCGATTTGTCATTTTGTGTCGGTTGTTTCATGTGATTGTATGCTTATATTATTAATTTTCTTTTCCTCAGCAATAACATTTGCCTGGAATTTTTTGACACTGGGTGCATGCTGTGCATGGTACGGCTTCAGCGTAGGTACCTGTATGTCCGTAGAACCAGTGTTGCTTGTGGAGCACTTAGGACTCAAGCTCTTGCCGCACTCCTTTGGGTTGATGCTCTTCATAAATGGAATTGGTGGTCTTCTACTATTCCCCTTAACTGGTAAGGAATTTTTTATTTTATATAATGTAGCCTGTAGCAGCTACATCAGAATGCTGTGCTGATGAAGCCGTAGCAGCTACATCAGCACAGTGAGCAAGTACTGCTACATCTGCACCTCACTGCAGATGGAGAGTATATTGCTGCATGAGCCCAGATCATTATTATTTTCATCACAGAGTAGCCAGCAGCAACAGCTTTTACCAGCTTTGGTTCTTTGCTTCACCAAACAAACTTAGGTACAACTAGTGATGGGACGATATTTAATTTCATCTTTCTATTCTAAAAAATCATCTTTCTGTATGATAGGGATTTTTTTCTGTTTTGTTATTCATTAATTCAGTGACATTTGTATGGCAAGTTTTGGTAAATATGGCAAGACAAAAATTTTTTAAATTATTTATAGTGTTAGAATCTTTCATCCAAATGAAAAACCCTTTTCTTTTTACACAGGTTGGCTGAGTGATGTGGCAGGCAACTATGTTATTACATACTATTTCATTGGAGGCATTTCATTAGTTCCTGGTCTTCTGTGGACTTCAGTACCCTGTTTTACAAAGCTCATTGATATTCCTTCAAAATCCCCCACTGATAATGTTTAGGGCATTGGTTATAATTTCTAAGAGTGGCAAATTAAACAAGCTTACAGTTTTGAAGGCAGTTACTTCACAAATGTTAACATACGTCCATTGGATATGCAGCACATAAGTTATATATATAAAACAAATGTCAAAAAACAAAAACAAAATAAGTGTACAGTTAAGTACTGTACTTACAATGCTCTATCTGGGTATTTAAGCAGATTGATCATTTCGTTTTAACAGAAAAAAACATTAATTTCTTTATGAGCTTTTGGTGAAATACTTCACATTTTGTAAATTCACTGCTTTTAGAGATGTCATTCCTCACAAAAGGCAGAGAATAAGTAGTGCATACAGTAGGGACATGTACTGTATATGAATGTTTATACAGTATATGGTATGTGTGTGGGAAGGGGGGTGGGGTGGGGTTGTAACATTATTGAAGTGTAGTTATAAGATGAAAGTTACTCTTGTGATATCCCATCTTCCCTATAATCTGTCGTATGACGTTTTGAAGCTTCCAACACCTTTGGCATCCATTATCTTCTCATTTAATTTATTTCAAGTGTCAATAATTCTGTTCCCAAAAAGATAATTTATACAAAAAAATTTGGTAATTTTGATTTCTTAGCTAGAATCTATGGCCTCCGGTTCTTGAATTTGCAGGTTTAAAAAGAAAAACCTTCTTTGTAAATTTGTTAATGGCTATCCTGATTTTGTATGTGATCATATAACGTATTCTGAGGGGATCCCCATCGGATTGAACTGATATTAGCTATATTAGTCTGGGGCTTCACTCGTACAGAGATCTATGCCTACCAGGAACCACAAACCAGAACCTGGTTCCCTCAGAGAGGTGAAGGTAGCAATGGCCTGTGAAAATGCAAAACGCCACTCTTTGAGAGTATATTCGTGTCTGTCATCGACTGGAGTTAAGTACCCAGAAAGGTAGGCACCCCAAAACAGATTTCAGCTGGTAGAAAAGTTCAACCAAAGACCAAACAGAGCCCAGGAACTTCCCCCAAGAAAATAAAGGTAACAAACAAATCGTCATCAACCCGATGCTCTACTTATTCGCACCAAACTTGGGGGCGTTGGTTGCTTCGATCTTGGTTCAGTCTGTGCCCATGAGTCCTTTCTCTGTTGGTGTGGTTCGCCCTGTTCCTCTTCCCTTGCTGCTGGCTCCCAAACGTCTGAGGGTTTCAGAGTCAGGGCGGGGTTTAATTGGGAATGAGACTCTGGCTGCTCCTGGGCTGTCCCATTTGATGTGGGGGACAGAAGCCATTGAGCCTGAGCCTCCTGCTGAGGCTTCTGGGTCTTACCAGCAGACCCCCCCCCCCCCACCCCTTCTTTGATTATTTTTCCCTGGAAAGGAAAGGATTCCTCCTTTGATTGCCTTTTCAAGGGTGGAGGGCATGGAGGTCGGCTCTGCCCCAGAGCCTGGTTTTGAGGCTTCTGGGACTGGGGTGCTTGGGCCCCTTTTGATCCTGCCTGGGGTGCTTGGGCCCCTTTTGATCCTGCCTGGGGTGCTTGGGCCCCTTTTGATCCTGCCTGGGCCCCTTTTGATCCTGCCTGGGCCTTGGTGCCTTCAGGGTTTGCTGTTGCAGGGTTCAGGGTTTTCATATCCTCCTTTCCTGTACGAGTTTGATATTGGTTCGGCTCCTCCCCAGGATCATTTCCGGATTCCTTTGGGTTCCGCAGCTTTGTCTTTCCGCAGGTTTTCCACCTCTTGGATTTCTCCTGCAGAGGTTTGGGAGGCCCTTGGTGCATACCTCCTGCAAGACCTGAACTTTGCCTTTGTGATGGGCCCCGTTCTCTTTTGAGTTCGGTTCTTCTTCCCCATATTGAGTGTGCTATGAGGTTCTGGCGTCTTCCTGGCTTGCAGACTGTCCTTTCTTTTCGCTTGGGGTATGGCAAAGGTTCACACTTGATTGGCGGGAGCTTACTATGGTATTGCAGGTTTACCTGCGTGGGTGCTTTTGAGCAGCTCAATGCGTGCCTTTACGCCCCTGTGCTTCTTTGTGAGGTTGGCTTGCTCCAGTTGTATGCCAAGGTCCCATCCCTTTTGGCTGCCTTGGCTGCGGAGGATCATCGTGCTCCTTGGGCTCTGCGGGTATCTAGCCTTGGTCCTGCACTCTTTTTCCCTTCTCGAGCTATCCTCGGACTGGCATCTGGAGGATGTGGAGGTGCCGAGTGCTGGGCTGTCGTCTGGGGCGTTGGCATCAACAGTTAGGGCATCGGCAGCATTGCTGAAACTGTATGAGCTTATCCTCCGGGAGGTGGTGTCCGTTTTTAGCTTTGTGTCTCAAGTATTGGCAGGTCATCCTTGCTCTTTCTTGATTCGGCCTAGGCCCTGGCTCTTAGGTTTTTGTCTCCTTTCTGTCCGTTATTGTTTTCAGACTCGATTGTTTCTCAGTTTTTGCAGGCAGCTTCTGCTAGTTGCCTTTCTTGTTGACCAAACCCCCGCACACTAGAAAGTGAAGAGACGACAACGTTTCGGTCCATCCTGGACCATTATCAAGTCGATTGCCTTTCTTTTTCTAATTTGTTGGTGATCCAGGGTGGGCATTCTCTAGTTTCCCGAGAAGGTTATGTCAGAGTTCAGGTCTCTGCAGGTCGAGGTAGGCCCTTGGTGCTAGGTTCTGTGCTGGTGTCTCCTCCGGAACCATCTTCGCCTGGTTGGCGCGGTGTTCCCTCTGCACATAAGTCGGCTTCTCAGAAGGGGCGCCGGCCCTTTCACAAGTCACCCCATTGACAGGGAGCTGGGGAAGAGGATGGCTCTGTTTGCCCACGCTTGGTCCCATGATTTGTGAGCGTTTCAGAGTGTGTCCCTCCAGCCCGTGGTGGTGTTGGTGGCTCCTCCTCCTCTCGGAGAATCGGAGTTGGCAGGGCAGGCTTCTTCCCCCTTCACTTCATCAGGTCATCCTGGAGAGGGTACACTTGGGCATGGTCAAGACGACTTCATCCCTCAAGTGAGTTTTTCGCTTGTTTCCAGTACCAAAACGGGACTGTGTGGATCTTCGGCTGATTCTGGACTTGTCCCGTCTGAACCGCTGGACTCTTTGCCCCTCCTTTCAGATGACTGCTCTCTCCCAGGTCCAGCTTCTCTTGGAGCCGGGTTCGAGGATTGTGTGTGGGAATCTTCGAGATGTGTATTGGCATGTTCCCATTCATCCGGGGATCAGGAACTGGTTAGGCTTTATGGTGGGGCGGCAATCTTACTGCTTTCGTTGCCTTCCCTTCGGACTGAATCTGGTGCCTCGCATTTTCACGCGTCTTACCTGGGTCGTGGTGGCCCATCTGCCTCTTCTAGGTGTTCAGGTCTTGGCCTACCTCGACGACTGATTGGTATGGGCTTCCAGCTAGTCCACTTGTTTGCTCGCCAGGGATTTGGCTCTTTCCCAGCTCGCTGGGTTTGGGTTCTTAGTGAACTGGAGGAAGTCCCATTTGGTTCCATCCTAGTTTCGAGCTTGGCTGGGTCTTGTCTGGGATTCTCGGACAGCGTTTGTGTCACTCTCTCCTGCTTAATTTTTAGCTTTGCTTGGTCGGTGTCCGAACCCGGGGCGTTTTCTGCCGCTCCGCCTCTTTTAGAATACAGGCATACCTCAGTTTAAGAGTTTAATTGGTTCCTGGAGACGCCTCGTATTCCAAAAACTCGCATTCCGAAGCTAATTTCCCCATAAGAAATAACGGGAAATGAATTAATCCGTTCCTGACTACCCCAAAAACCCCACATCAAACTAAATTTTTATACCTAATTCATCTAAATAAACCTACAAAACTATGTTCAAGTTATTACTTACCTTGCTGTTGAATGCTGTAGGCGTATGGAAGATGGTGAGGAGGTGGGAGGAAGAGACGAGTTACTGTTTGGAAGGGGAGTCCCCTTCCATTATCACATCAGGCAGTGAGGACTTCACTGGTATGCACACTCTGGCACATTTTGCCTGCATACCACTAGGACTTGCTTGTTTTACTAAGAATTTGTCTAATGACACTTGTTTTTCCCTACATTTTAACACTTGTCTGTAGTAAGACATCACATTATCATTTAAAAGGTCAATGCAACGGCCTGCTACAGCTTTATCTGGGTGAGTTTTTTCAACAAAACTTTGCAGTTCTTCCCATACTCCACACATTTTCTTAATCAAGAAGGGACATCCTCTACTGCCTCTACTCACAGCTATTTTCTTAGGTTGAACCTTACCAATGGCTTTCTCGAGACCCATGGCAAGATATATAATGACAACTTTTATGCTCAAATGGCCAAAAAAACGATAAAAAACTGTAAATCCTTGTGAAGAATTCAGGTGGGATAGTCACTGGACACGAGACACTGGTAAACTGAGGCGCGATCGCCATGCCACCACGCGCCAGTCGGCTTGTACACGTATCAACAAACTCGCGTCCCGAGGTAACCCTCGCCTTCCAAGACATATTTTTGGAGTAAATCCTGCTCGTCTTCCGAAAAACTCGCATACAGGGACACTCGCATTCCGAGGTACCACTGTATAAGGCCGGTGAGTTACCTTGCTGGTTCGATCTACTCTTACGCTCTTTGCATCTGGTATTTGTCACATATGTATCCCCATCTGTATGGTGATCAGGTGGCCTCTCGCATGGTGTCTCACCTGCGGTCTTCTTCCCAGCAACAGTATGAAGTAACCCAGTAACAGTATATCTCTTGGCTTTTTTTTTTTTTTTTTTTTGCCACATCCTTTCTCTTTGTAGGATGACTTCTGTTTCTGTTCGTGTTTTGTCTTTTTCTTGACTCTTTCAGGACCTACATCTTATGCTCCGTTCTGTAAGCTATCTCGTGAATTTTTCCACCTCTGGCCTGTTCATGTGCCTCCTGAGCTGTCCTGGTGTTTGGAGTGGGTGCTCTCTTTTCTCTCTCTCCTCCTCGGTTTGTTGTAGCCCCTTTGGTCCAAGATTGTTTTCTAATGGTTTTGTTTTTGTTGGCTTTGGCCTCTGGGGGGTCTGGTCGATGAGCTTCATGTCCTCCGGCTCGGGGGTTTCTCTTGTTTTGGTCCTGGTGGACATTTTGGTCGTTTGCAGCTGTCTCATTCTTTTCTGGGGAATAATGAGATGGCTGGCTTCCGGAGGGGGTCTGTGTGTCATTGATGCTTGGTTTGGCAGGCCGGGGGTGCATCATGTCTTCTCTTCGGTTATCATGTCTTCTGTCGGGTTGTGGCTTTACGTCGTTACCTGCGTGCCTCAGGTTCTGTGTCTGGGGACGCGCTTTGGGTTGATGTGATATCCCTCATTCCCTGTACCAGGGCTCGGATCTCTCAGGTCATCCGCAGGATTATCAAGTCTAGCCAGCCTTCGGTCTACTCTCGTGCCCATGATATTCGGAAGTTTGTGGCTCTTACTGCTGTGTTTGGAAACATGTCTTGGGCTGACATTTGGGCATGGGGGTTTTGGAGGTCGAACAGGGTCCTGGCTGCCAATTATCTCGTGAACGTCCCGGGCCCTCAGCGGTTGTGTGTGGCCTTGGGCCGTCGATTGCAGCCAGTTGTCCCATCTTCGTCTTAAGGTTATCTTAAGATGATTTTGGGGTTTAGCATCCCCCGCAGCCCGGTCCTCGACCAGGCCTCTTTTTTGTTACAAACGCCCAGGAAGCAGCCTGTAGCAGTTTTCTAGCTCTCGGGTACCTATTTACTGCTAGGTGAACAGGAGCATCAGGGTGAAAAACTCTGCCCATTTGTTTCTGCCTCTACCAGGGATAAAACCCAGAACTTCAGGACTATGAATCCCAAGCCCTGTCTATTCAGCTATCTGGCTCCTACTTATACCTACCCCCTGACAGTGGCCTGACAGCGGCGTGACAGCTGAGTGGACAGTGCTTCGGATTCGTAGTCCTGAGGTTCTAGGTTTGATACCCGGTTTGATTAAACAGCTGCTACTGGCTGTTTCTGGGGGTGTGTAACAAAAAGGTCTGGTTGAAGACCGGACCGTGGGGACGCTAAGCCCCGAAATCATCTCAAGATAACCCCTACTTATGAGGCATGCAGTGCTGCTGCCTCCTGGGAAAGTCCCTCTTTTACTTATCTTTGGGTAGCTAGCTCCAGGGAGCCAATGGAGCTCCCCTCAGAAAACCATCATTGAATTGAATGAAACTTAATTTTCTGGATGAGCCCTGGAGGCTCCCTGGCACCCTTCCTCACTCCCTCCGGTCGATGGTTTTTGTTTCCGTTTGATCAGTCTCTAAACTGGGGGTCTAGCGGCTGACTTGATATGGGGTCTTCCCCTTCCCCTGGAAGGCAGGGCACAAACGAGCGTCGGAATGATGACGATTTGCTTGTTACCTTGTTTTTCTTTGGGGGGGGGGGGGTTGTTCTTGGGCTCTGTTTGGTTTTGGGTTTCACTTTCCTACCAGTTGGGGTCTGCTTTGGGGTGCCTAAATTTCTGGGTGCCTAACCCTGGTCGATGGCAGACATAAATATACTCTCAAAAAGTAGAATTTTTATAGGCCATTGCTTCCTTTGCCTCTCTATGGGAACCAGGTTCTGGCTCGTGGTTCCCGGTAGGCATGGAACTCCATATGACTGAAGCCCCAGACTAATATAGCTAATATCAGTCTGATAGTTCCAGGGAGCCTTTGGGGTTTACCCAGAAAATGGCGTTTCATTACATGTAACGCTAGTTTTTTCATTTGTGTTCTTCTACCTGTTAACTTTGGCATCTGTAATACCTCCAGCCTCTACTCATAGCTCTTGTGGTTTAGATCCAAAAGCCTTTTAGTAGCATGTCTTTTCATCTTTTCTAGTTCATTGATATGCATCTTGAAATATGGACAGCACACAACTGCTGCATATTCTAACCTCAGTCTTGTGTGTGAAATATTTCTTTATCAGAGAATGAGGAGCCGGCGATGTTTCTGGTCATCTCACAATCAAGCCGATTGTGATTATTATCAAGTCGATTATCACAATCAACTTGATAATGGTCCAGGATGGACCAAAACGTTATTGTCTCCTCATCTTCTGGTGTGTGGTTTAGTTCTCATATCTTCAAGCCACGTTATTGTGACTCACCATCTGCATTTTTTTTTTTAGCATTTCTCTATCATTCAATTTAAAAGCAGTTCTTATTTTCAAAATAGTGCAAGTTTCTCAAACTTTGCCCCTGATGCAACTTCTGATTCGAGTATCCACTGATCTTCTCTTCAAAATTTGTTGTAAAGTTTATACCTCCACTTTCATGAGGACTAGGTGGTGGCTATTATTAATGTCTCATATTCTTCCTTCTTTCTGGCAAAAGTATCAGAGGCCATGGTTTTTCCTGTTTTTTTCTTTCACTTTGCTGGTTCTTCATTTCTCAGCCAGTAGTCATATCTTTTCTGTCTTGACTTTCTGGAATGCCATTTCATGACCAATGATGTCACTTTCTACTAAGGCCTTCATAGACACACATTTTTTGAGCAGATATTTTTTTTTCTCCCTTTCGGCTCAGGCTTTTTTTCATTTCCAGCTAACTATTGTTCCTCTGGAGCCTACTTATTATTTGAATTGGGCTCTGTCATTTTTGTCCCCTCCTTAGTTTCTTGTGTGCCCCTCATTTGAGGATTTCGTTTTGAAGGTGACTTTTTTGTTGCCTCTGGCTTCTAGTGGTCTTATTTGTGAACCTCGTGCTCTTTTCTGCAAGGAATTTTTCCTTTTGTCCTGGGAATCGCTTTCTCTGTCTCCAGCCCACTTTGCCATTTTCAGCCATAAGTAGATTTTTTAAGTGCCTTATTTCTGGATACAGCCCCTTGTATTTTCCTTAAGTTCTTCCTGGGAGAGAAGATTACAAATATGAAAATACTTAGCCCCATCTCTAGGAGATGAGGGAAGGCATCAGCCATGGACAGTCAAATGATCCCAGCATGCTACACTCTGTACAATCTTGGAAATAATACAATGGACTGTGCCCTATGAACAATATGAAACACTGGTAATGCCCTGGTGTTAGTAAACACTACTTTAGTAGCAGTTAGCTCTTCTACAGCAGGTCCTGCCTGACGAGTGTTCGAAAGTATTATCCATTCAGGAGTTGGCTCAAGGAATCACACCTAACGAGGAATTGTGACCATCAGAGAAAACAACTCGAGTGGAGAACAGTCATCACTGACAGCACAGGCTGGTGGGGAAGGTAGCATTAGACACACAATTTGAACAGTGTGATGCTTGTGTAACATAAATGGCATGTAACTCCCTTCACAAGCCTGCAGGGCCAAATAAAAGCCAGATACACTTGTCTGTAGGAGCCACCAAACTCGGGGAGTACAGAGATGCACTGCAGAATGGTTCACAGACAGGTGCAAGGCAGAATGTGCAGTGAGCCTGGTGATGGATGGGGCAACTTGTGAGGGTTTCTTGGGTAGGTGTTTGATTTGTTTTGGGCCTTTGAAACATTTAAAACATTTCCTAGGAGTTTTGAGTGTATTGTGGTCTCCTTTCTTTGCATTTAAAAGTAGTTTTCTTTGGTAATTAGCTAAATCTTAAGTCCTCGTGTGTTTCCTTCCTCCTACAGGAACAAGTGAAGATCATACACTGTATATAGGCCCTGGTCCCTGGTAGTCAGACTCACGGGTATCTGGCATATGCTAGTCTAATCGGTAATGGTAAGTGCTTAAAACTAATTCCAGTATTGTTTCAGGAAAGTATGCTTTTTACTATGTTAATGTTTTTTGTTCCTTTTACTATGGTGCAGCTTGTTTCAACTTTTAGAA